AAAAAAGCAGCATTTCACCTAGATTTCCTTTAATTCCACACATTTAAAACAAGTTTCTCACCAAGTTTGTGTAAATTCATCTGTGGGTTTTAAAGACATTTTAACTTTAATACACTTTAATACAGAGCGTCAGGTCAGCACTATTTGTGTTTATAGAGAAATAAAAATCATCACCACTGGACTTTTTTACTTGTGTTCAACACTACTCATCTAAATGATGTTTCTCATGAAGCTTGAGGACAATAAGATGTGGGGTTTTAAAGACATTTCAACTTTAATGCACCTGAACGCACAGCGTCTCTTACACCTGCAGCGTCTCACAGCGTCACACTTACTGCTAAGAGAACATGCTACAGACGTAGCTCCACTTCTCTCCTCCTAACATGAATATATGTTTCTGATCAACCCCCCAGTCAACAACTGCCCACACTAAGCTGCTAAACTGGCGAGCGAGCAGCACAGAGGTCGGTCCATCTCCTCCACCTGTGCGCGTTTTCTGCCAAAGCAGAAGGAGACGCACAGAAACACTGCAGGTGTTACACCATATTCTGTGACCACCGTATATTGTGACCGTGGCTTGGAGGTAACCAGGAAAACCTGGAGTGGAGTTTTAGTGGTTTGAGTATTCTCCTATTAATCAAGTGGAATGGATTCGTTCACGAAGAAAGAGAAACTGCACCGCTTGAACTAATGTTCCATAATAAAAGTGGGGGGGTCCAAATGAACGTTTTTGGAATGTGGGGGGGACTTGTCCCCTTCACATATAATGGTTGTGACGCCTATGGCCGAGACTAAAGCAGAGTCTTAACTTATTATATTAGCTCCAGTCTAGAACATTTTAAAGACATTTGTGCAAATCCTCAATGATAAACCTGAACACTTGTCAGTTTTACATTAGAAGGTTAATTCAATTAAATTCAGTTTATTTATATAGCACCTTTTCACAACAAAGTTGTTTCAGGGCAATTTACAGAAACATTTACAGGTATAAAAAAGCCATTTAGTAAAGTTCTCTATCTAAGGAAGCCAGCAGGCTTGTTGAATCTTGGCTTCATCACAATCTCCCATCCTGAGCAAGCACAGTGGCAACAGTGAAAGGAAAAACTCCCTTTAACAGGAAGAAACCAGGACAAGCGGCCATCTGCTTTGATCGGCTGGGTTTGAGAGGACAGGAAGGAGAGACAGACGAACATAGAATGGAAGGTCCAGATGTAGGTGCAGGTGTACCTGAAAGACAAAAACACGTCAAGGATAGAAAAAATAATTACAAATACAAAACAGGGGTCTTCTTCACGAATGAGGGAAAAATGGAGTGTGAGATTGATAGGCGGATAGGTGCAGCGTCTGCAGTGAAGAGGGCGCTGTACAGGTCTGTCGTGGTGAAGAGAGAGCTGAGTCAAAAGGCGAAGCTCTCAATTTACCGATCGATCTACGTTCCTACCCTCATCTATGGTCACGAGCTTTGGGTTGTGACCGAACGAATGAGATCTCGGATACAAGCGGCCGAAATGAGTTTTCTCCGCAGGGTGTCTGGGCTTTCCCTTAGAGACAGGGTGAGAAGCTCGATCATCCGGGAGGGACTCAGAGCAGAGCCACTGCTTCTCCACATCGAGAGGAGCCAGTTGAGGTGGCTTGGGCATCTGTTTAGGATGCCTTCTGGACGCCTCCCTGGTGAGGTGTTCCTGACACGTCCCACCGGAAGGAGGCCCAGAGGAAGACCCAGGACACGCTGGAGGGACTATGTTTCTCGGCTGGTCTGGGAACGCCTCGGGTATTCCCCCAGAAGAGCTGGCCCAAGTGGCTGGGGAGAGGGAAGTCTGGGCCTCCCTACTTAGGCTGCTACCCCCACGACCCGACCCCGGATAAGCGGAAGAAAATGGATGGATGGATAAAAACAGGTTGAGCAGTGTAAGTAAAGCCAAGACGGTGTAGGGGCAGGGCAGCCAACTCGGGCCCCAAAGGTCCTGAGTTCAATCCCCGGTCAATATCTCGTGGTGTCTCTGAGCAGGACACCTAATACCGAATTGCTCCCTGGGCGCTTACATAGCTGCCCACTGCTCCACCTGGGTGTATCCCAGGTGCTATGGGTTAAATGCAGAGACCTAATTTCATCTTTGTATGGGAACATACAATGATGACAACACATGGCACTTATTTACTTAAAGACAGTAGCATAGTGAAGAAATGTGGTCAGTTTGTCCTCCAGCAGTCTAAGCCTATATCAGCATGACTAAGGGATAGCTCATGAAACCCAAGCCAACCCTAACTTTAGGATTTAGCAAAAAGGAAAGTCTTACTGGAAATGTTACTGACATATAGAAGTTAACACTTCTTTAAACCAAAGACTGTGCAGGTGTGAAGCCCATCATCACACTCTGTTACAGGGCAGAGGAATTATCCAAGAAAGAAAGAAACATATTGCGTTCAATCAAGTACAATTTATTTCCAGTTAAATGTATTTTGAATACATTTAACACTTCGTGTTTTAGACATGGATCATTACTGGTATGAGATCTCAAATTGGCTCATATTGCCACACATCTATGTAAATAATCATCTAATCTAAATGTGACAGAAGAGTAAGTATTTGTAAAATGGTGTTTTAATGAACCCCTATTTCATGCTGGGGTTATTTTAAGATGACAGGAAGTTGCTTTGATCTTGGTCCTGGTTGTAACTAGAGATCTTCAGAACCAATTCATTTAGCCAAAGAAGTGTCTACAACAGGTAATATACTAATTGCTCATGATCATTTTACAAAACTCACCTTGACGATCTGATCCTTAACTCACCAGTAGACACATTAATTGTTTTATTTTTAAATTAACTTTGTCTTCAGACTCTCTGAGTTCATGCAGCTTTATGTTACTTTGTAGTTTAGTTTCTGCATCCACTCCTTTCGTTGTTTATTTTCTCTTATTAGTGGCTCCTACTCATCTTTTTGTTGAAGTTTGCAAAAAATATCAACTCCTGCAACTATTCGTGTTTCAGAAATGTTTCACATTACTTCAATTCGATGATAAATTATCTGATGCTTTATATCACAGGTCGCGATGTTAGTGTTATGAAACGCTCATGTTTTAAGCATTATTTATTTTTAACAAGATGTATTTAGTATATACAGGTGCTGGTCATAAAATTAGAATATCATAAAAAGTTGATTTATTTCAGTATTTCCATTCAAAACATGAAACTTGTATATTATATTCATTCATTACACACAGACTGATATATTTCAAATGTTTATTTATTTTCATGATGATGATTTTAACCGACAACTAATGAAAACCCCAAATTCAGTATCTCAGAAAATTTGAATATTACTTAAGACCAAAAAAAAAAAGGATTTTTAGAAATGTTGGCCACCTGAAAAGTAGGAACATGAAAAGTATGAACATGTACAGCACTCAATACTTAGTTGTTGCTCCTTTTGCCTGGATTACTGCAGCAATGCGGCGTGGCATGGAGTCGATCAGTCTGTGGCACTGCTCAGGTGTTATGAGAGCCCAGGTTGCTCTGATTGTGGCCTTCAGCTCTTCTGAATTGTTGGGTCTGGCGTATCTTCCTGCATCTTCCTCTTCACAATACCCTGTAGATTTTCTATGGGGTTAAGGTGAGGTGAGTTTGCTGGCCAATTAAGAATAGGGATACCATAGTCCTTAAAGAACAGGGATACCATGGTCCTTAAACCAGGTACTGGTAGCTTTGACACTGTGTGCAGGTGCCAAGTCATGTTGGAAAACGAACTCTGCATCTCCATAAAGTTGGTCAGCAGCAGGAAGCATGAAGTCTCTAAAACTTCCTGATAGATGGCTGCGTTGACCTTGGACCTCAGAAAACACTGTGTACCATCAGCAGATGACATGGCACCCCAAACCATCACTGACTGTGGAAACTTGACACTGGACCTCAAGCAACGCGGATTCTGTGCCTCTCCTCTCTTCCTCCAGACTCTGGGACCTTGATTTACAACAGAAATGCAAAATTTACTTTCATCGGAGAACATAACTTTGGACCACTCAGCAGAAGTTCAGTCCTTTTTGTCTTTAGCCCAGGCGAGACACTTGTGTCGCCGTCTCTTGTTCAAGAGTGGTTCGACACAAGGAATGCGACAGCTGAAACCCATGTCTTGCATACGTCTGTGCGTGGTGGTTCTTGAAGCATTGACTCCAGCTGCAATTCATTTCTTGTGAATCTCCCCCGCATTTTGTAATGGGTTTTGTTTCACCATCCTTTCCAGGGTGCGGTTATCCCTATTGCTTGTACACTTTTTTCTACCACAGTCTTTCCTTCCCTTTGCCTCTCTATTAATGTGCTTGGACACAGAGCTCTGTGAACAGCCAGCCTCTTTAGCGATAACCTTTTGTGTCTTGCCCTCCTTGTGCAAGGTGTCCATGGTCATCTTTTGGACAACTGTCAAGTCAGCAGTCTTCCCCATGATTGTGTAGCTACAGAACTAGACTGAGACCATTTAAATGCCTTTGCAAGTGTTTTGAGTTAATTGGCTGATTAGAGTGTGGCACCAGGTGTCTTCAATATTGAAGCTTTTCACAATATTCTAATTTTCTGAGATACTGAATTTGGGGTTTTCATTATTTGTCATTTATAATCATCAACATTAAAAGAAATAAACATTTGAAATATATCAGTCTGTGTGTAATGAATGAATATAATATACAAGTTTCACTTTTTGAATGGAATTACTGAAATAAATGAACTTTTTCATGATATTCTAATTTTATGACCAGCACCTGTACATAAAACCGGCTAAGAAGGGTGACCTGTTCAGCTCTAGTTTTTATTTGTTATGTTTTTTCAGCAGGTCCTTGTCTGTTTCTGGAGCATTCACTGTTTGTATCAAACATTACTACATCCAATACAATATATGGCAGAAACAGAAAGTTTATTTTTCTGACATGAGCAAGACAAATAAAGTCTTTAATTGTAAAATTCTGATCTTTACTTATTCTGGGTAATTTTTACTGTGTTTCTGTTCCTAGCAGATCTTCTTTGGTGATGACCTCCTGACCAGATCGACCATGACATACTAGGTCTTGCCTATCAAATGCTGACAGCCTGACGTTGCCACGGCGATGGCCGAAGCTTCTCCTGCACCGATCCCCCCATCAGGCAATGAAGCCTTGTCCCCGCCTCCTGCACTGTGCTCATCATGTGGCCACTGTCACAAACTGGAGGAGAATCACGAGTATGTTTACATGGATGAGGTGGACGATGACCTCGTATGCCACATCTGCCTGCAGCCACTCATCAGGCCCCTGGACACGCCCTGCGGTCACACCTACTGCCAGGAGTGTCTCACCTGCTTCCTGCTGGAGAGCGATTTCTGCCCAGTGTGTCGCATGCCCCTCATGTTGCAGAGCTGCAGGAGGCCCAGCCTAATGGTGCACAAGCTGCTCGACAAGCTGATTGTAGGCTGTCCCTTCACCGATCATTGCACAGAAATCCTGCCCCGTGGTGAGGTTGAAGACCACTTAAAGATCAGGTAGGCTGCTAGAAACATAACTTTAGCTTTTAATTTTATTTTTTCCACATCCACTAATCTGCCCCAATATCACACTTTACACAGTTTATATCTGTTGAAGTAGGGTTCTGTGGAGACATTATGAACATATAATATCTTACCTGTTGCTGCTAAATTATTGAACAACTTCAGTTTGGATAGACAGTTTAATTTGGATCAGATTTTCAAGCTAGTCTTAGCAAAGCCAAGACCAAAGTGAACTGCTGCTGTCTTTAAAGAACACCTGCATCAACAACTGAACTACTTAGAAACTCTTGACACCGTCATCAGTTTCACATCACATGGTGATTACAGCAGAAATATCATGATAAACCTGCTTGGAATGCTACAGCTAGCTGATGCTGCTGCTATCCAAACTTGCAAAGTAACCACAGAATTCTGTGTAAATAAAAGTGAACTGTGATGGGAATGAAAACAAATAATCTAAGCAATATATCATCATACAACCTGTTTATTAGTAAGTTGTAAAACCTTTTCTTCTTCACATCTTCCTGTATGTCTTTTTTATTTTTGTTTTATTTTTTATTTTTTTATCATATAAATAACAACCAGAACTACTCAATAAATGGCAATAACAAAGATTTTGACATCCCGTCAGTGTATAAGTAAATAACAGCTAAGACTTAAAATGGAAAGCAATATTCAGAAATTATATTATTAGAGGAGATTATATTATTAGAGATTATATTCACCTTTTGATGCTGTTTGCTTGTTTGTTTTAGTTAATCTATCCATCTATTATCTTTACCCGCTTCTTCCTTTTTGGGTCACGGGGGTCACTGGTGCCCATATCCATGTCACTGTGCGAGAGGTGGGGGACACCCTGGACATGTCTCCAGTCCATCACAGGGACACATGGAGACAAACAACCATTCACTCTCTCACTCACACCTAGGGACAATTTAAAGTTACCAATCAGCCTAACATGCATGTTTTTGGTCTGTGGGAGGAAACCGGAGTACCTGGAGAAAACCCACGCATGCACGGAGAGAACATGCAAACTCCACCCAGAAAGGCCCCTGGCCAGGATTAATAAATGTGCCAGTGAATTAAATGGCTCCTGTGTTCATAAAACTAATCCACTTTCTTTTCCATTTCCTTCTTTAGCCTCTAGTTTTAGTTTACATTTGCTCTTTCAGTCAGCCACAAACTTTCTTCATATAAGTTTCCCTCCTCACCCGCCATCATTAACAACCAGCTTCAGTCCCAGATGAGCAGAGTTCCTCCTCCAACCACCTTTCATCAACCGGCTGCTTACATCTCATTAAAATGCAGTACAGGGTACTCTGTTTCTCTCTGTGTGGCTCTGCTTGCATAAATACTCGTTAACTCTCTCCTGGCCAAAATGCTGTTGTGATAATGAATGGATCTCACCAAACATCGTAGACCAGCAGGGTTTCATTTACATTTAAAACTTCAAACACGGCGTATCAAAATCTGTATAAAGAGGATTTTTTTACATCCACTGCCTCGTATTCATTTCCTCTCAGCTGCAAACACACACATACTCTCGTTTTACACGTTCTTTTCTACTCTATCTTGTTTCTCTGTCACGTTTTTTTTTTTATCTTTTATTTCCCTTGCTCATGATCAACTAGTGGCCCGGGGGCCAAATCAGGCCCACAGGTGAGCTCACTTTGGTCGACCAATGGGTTCATTTCTAAATAAAACTACATTTAAAATCCTAAAACAAACTTATTTAATGAGAATAACTGCTGGATGTCCGGCCGCTGAGCTCTTGGTTTTCAGTATCTGTGGCTCCTGAGCAGTTTAGTTGAACAGTCCTGCTCTAGTGTGAATGTTCTAATGAGGTCTGGAGCTCCAAAGCCGTCTTCCAGAAGAACCAAGCTGCTCTCCAGTAGTTAGAGAGCGTTATCTGTGGAGGTGGAGGGGCCACATCCACAGAGAGGAGTCTACGCTGTGTGTGTAAGGATCTGAAAAGGTTGCAGTGAATTATTCGTTTCACTTTCACTCTTCAGTGGTTGCAGAGCTAAATAAAATGCTCCTTTAGCTAAGAGAAAAAAACGACTTACTTTGATGGTTGTGATTCTTGAAGTGACACAGTTGAGTTTGAAACAGTTTCTGATGGATGACGGACTACAGGAGGCAATCAGTGTAAATATGATATTATGGTCTGCTGGCAGGTAGAAATCAAGTTGTGAAATGCATCAAGAAAATGTCAGATTTAACACTGGAGATTTGTAATTACATCTAATTTCCATTTAGTATGTTCGTTTTTCATCCTTCCAACAACCCCCTACTCTATCCAAGAGGTCATAATAATCAAAACAGGTAGAAAACAAAATGGTTCCACTTCGGCTCGTCAAGCTGTTCTTCAATTATTTCTGCAAAGGTGAATAGCAAAAGTAATATTTCACTGTTTGACTTGAACAACAGTGAAAGTCCATCCATGTTCATTTAGTTATTTTCAAATGCTTTAATAATAATAATCTGCATCATTTGCAGAACATATCTGATTTAACAAGTTTCTTTTCCTAAAGACAAAAGGAGTGCTGTGGAAAGTGGTTGAAAAATGTAAATCTACCATAGCTCTTTCAAAACTATTCAAGGTTCAAGGTTCTTTATTATCATTCACATCACATGTGGTACATGAGGTGGAACGAAATTGTGTACACAGGGTCCCAGTTTCACACAAAAATTCCATTAATGTAAAGTATAAAAAAGAAACAGTAAATAAGGATCTAAGATATACACTAAATAATAATAATATAATATAATTATTATTAAACACTTTTACTTTAGACTTGAGATCATTCTGACTCTAAAAAAAAGGCTAATGACAAATCAGAGCTAGACCAAAGTTAATTTCTGATGTTTCAGAAAAACTCAGATTTTTTAAAATTCATAGTAAATCTGAATGACTTTTAGCGCCCTTTACATTGTGATTCATTTTGTGTTGGGAGGTCACATTTTAAATGTTATAATATTCATATTAGAAGCACCACAAACTACACCAGAAGTGCTATAGCTAGCTGCTGCTGCTACTGTATTTGCACATTCAA